CTTTTGAAAATCAAATACTAACATCATATTTGATGAGTATAGTGTCATTCTTCCTCTGTTAAACAATTATGATGTAATGGTTGTTTATTTGAAAGAAGGTCAAATGAAAAGGGAAAGGATGCTGCTGTGGCTGGCCAAAGGATTGTTGAAACAAAAACTTTGTCTTCTTTCCGAATTCAATTAACTTTCTCTGATCATGATTTTAAACAGGGTAGATATTCATATTAATAGGACAATCTCAGAGTTGAATGACTTGAAATTTAAACCAGACACACATGACCATGAGTTTGTTAATTTAACAATTATTAGTGGGAAGTTCGGGAATTGTCAGCTTACAGATATTGATCATCAGATTTTTGATTCAGTCAAGCAGAAAATAATTTCACAAGGAATATAGCACCTAAAGAAATGTTTTCTAGGATGGAACGGGGGTGTTATAAAGGCATGTGTTATCTCCGACATTTTCATGTGGCCTCATGACAATTTGGAAATTTAGAGAAAGGACGAGATTGTGACTTTGAAGGATATCTGTCATTTCAAACCTAGGCTTCTAAAGAGCAAAACTTGAATCTCTACAGAATGAATGATATGAATTTAAAATTTTAAGACAGTGTGCAGAAATACATGAATTGTTTTGTAAAGCAAATCACATAAAGAAAGGTTTCAGCCAGTTATTGTCTATTGTCACGGTTTTGCCATCTTCCACAGCTTCTTGCGAACAAGCTTTTAGCCAAATGACTCTTAAGACTGAGCATGCATAGACAATGTAACACTCAACGACCTTATGATGATTAAACTCAGTGCACCATCGCTAATAGACTTTCAACCAAAAAATGCAACAGAAACAACAGTTTTTTTTAAACACAAAACATCAAGACACATTAGCAGTGCAACCAGAGTGTGCCTGAAGCATAATTTGGTTAAGATGGTGCAGCTGAGAGATTTTGTAAAAAGTTAACAGCACTATAATGATTATTAATAGTAAGTTTTTATTATATTTTTGGGATGGGAGCAAGAGGGGCTGACCAGAATTTTTATTAGCTCCTGGATTTTTGAAATTATTTTGAGTCCTGATTACTATTAATTATTTTGTTATTAATAACAATGGGATAGACAAGTGATCAGAACTATAGGCAGAAGTTGTGACACTGTCGCAGTGTTGTATAAGGACTTTGGAGGTTGCTGGCACGTACTGTGTAATGATCTCTTGCATGGGGACTAGCTTTTTGCACTGCGTCCCTCTCCATAGTTTAAACTTGAAATTACAGAAGCAATATATTTTGCTTTGAATTCTTTCATGTACCTAATAATGCTTTAATAAAGGTAAACTAAAATATAGCACAAAAAGTTAAATTAGTTTGCTTATAAGATTTATGAGAAAATTAAATTTTCTTAATGACCTTTCACCGATAGTACACTGTATCTGTGGCATCTATGGGAACAGACAAAAGCAGTCTAGTCCTTTGTGGCATACAGCCAATGCAATTTGAGCACCTCCTTTTTCACATGAAAACTTCATAACACTTGAATGGTGTGCCATTTCAAAAGAAATAAAATGATATTCCTTTTAATGTTTTTGAATGATATTAAAAATATACTTGAAAGTGTTAATGAATAAAATGTTAAAGGATTAGCCTAGTCCATTGATGACATGCTGCTGTTGGAGATGATGATTTTTTTTTTTTTTTTTTGGATAGAATCTGTATTAAATTATTATTTGTTTCAATAGTTTTAATTTGCAAATAATTTAATTTTAATTTGCAATAATTGTAAAGGGATCCTTAATATACAGAGATTATATTATGTAAGCTGGTGGCCTCTGATGACTGAGTGACTAAAGACCTAGAACTCTAATAGTTCATTGTAGATTTTACAGCTGGTGGCTGAAGAAGTTGAAGTTTTGCCTTGGTACTGCGTCAATTTTACACATGTTGGTGCATGAAAAGATGCCAGTTACCCAGAAGTGGTCTTACATAAAGGCATTTAACCAAGCAAATAATTTGACTCATATTACATGCTAGCAGTTTCTTAATTATTGTCTTATGGTCTTAACGTTCTGCTACTATTAAACCCATGTCTGGTTGACTGACAGTTAAAAAAATGACTGTTGATGGGCAATATTTGCCCATCATTGGCCATAGGCCTTCAGCATCAGTAACAATAGTATGACTTCATTTAGCTCTGCATTATTTTTTATCAAGACTACCTGAGGAATTCAATCTGACGTTCTTGTATCCTTCATCCCTTACCTCTAACTTTTCTAGAAGACTTTCAAATTGTACGTTAAGTGTCCAATAGTGTTATTTTAAGTCTGCAAAGTCTACAGAACAGTTAGTAGAACTGTATTTGTCAGAAATTATGTGAAATGAAATATAGCGTAAATAATGTTTCCTACACACGGGAAGAATCATGAAAGCATAGCAAAACTGGATGTATTAATTCTTTATTGCATCATATGATATTCATACTTGCAAATTCATAGAATAAATATTTTTTTAACTAACTCAAATTGCATGTGGATAAAATCCATGAGCTACAAGCAGTTGTTGGGCAGAAAATGTTTTAACAGGTTGACACAGTTAAAATATGCATAAACATATTAAATATTAAAAAAAATGCATAAACAACAATAATAATAATAATGCAAATGATAAAGTTAAAATTTGTGGTATTCCGTTTCTATCTGAAAATTAAAGTTTGGTAGCTGCAAGAAATTTTAGTTGGTTTCATTTTGTAATTTGAATGTATTTGGAGCTAACTATTCAATTTTCAGACTTATAACTAATTCAAATAATTCTAGTATGCTGAGTGAACCACCATGCAACATATTTTTAACTGGAGCTAAAAATAAACAAATTTTAAAAACTGAAAGTTTTCAGACAAAACCTTTCAAGTGGAACTAAACTGAGAATAAATAATGACATCCTGTTCTCTTTTATTTATTAATTTTTTCAGCATACTAAATTTTATGTAAATATTATAAATGTCTTTACTTCTAACTACAACAGTTTTGATTCACTTTGCAGCTACGAAGAAAAATTGTGAGAAATTATCTTCATCATAGATTATGATTGATTATTGATCAGGTGTTGTTTATAAGACTTGTTAATTTTCAACAGTAAAAAAAAACTTGTCACATGTAAATGTACTCCCAAACAAAATATTATCACAAAAATTCATAACTGAGGGCATTTATCTTTTGAAAAATAGGAATAAAATTTAATCAAATCTGTATCTTCAAATCTTTTAAGTAAGCTGCATATCACCAATTAATTAGCTCCATTTGTAAATATCCGATCCTTATTCATATTTATTTTTAATGGTAGTGAAAAGGACATAAAATTGAATTCCAAATCATTAAATCATTCTTTAAATTCTTTTTATAATGTTATTTTTCTTTCATATTCTGGAGATTTTTCATTTGAAATAATAAGGCAGGATTTAAGATGTAGGAAATGTACAATTCTTTTTTATTCCAACTTTGTTTCCTATAATTATAATTTATCTTTAATATGAACAAATGATAATTTGTTCTCTCTTTTCAGTTCTTGTATATTTAAATGGTTGATTAAATCAATGAGGAATGCCGAATCTGCTCTCCTTGTATCATTATATAGCTCAATAACGGTTTCATTTTATTTTTATTTATTTATTTATTCATGCATTTATTTATTATGGAATCATCAAAAATTTGATTTGATTTTTTTAAATCAGCAATTCCCAATCTTAATTCTTTTCCCTACCCCTTAATGACAAATTTACCATTTAGAGTAACCCTAACCTTCCCCTTCAGAAGCTGTGCCTCCCTCCTGCATTCTCACAGATATCAAACAGTGGAATATCCTAAAGGTAATAAATTGCAAGAAAGAAAAGTCAGAAATATTTTTTTCTTTGTTCTTTTTTAGAAAATCATAAATTTTGAGGCTTTCTCATCTTCGTTGAAAGGATTTGAAATCTAATTGTCTTCTCATTTTGTGTTGACAAGTAATGTTTGAACAACTCTTAGAGGCCTTTCAAGTAGGTTATTTATGTTCATTATAACTTCATTTGGAACCTGAAACTTGTATTTCTGACAAGGATTTGTAAAGCGTTTTTAATATTTCAATGTAATTTTTTTTTTAAATAAATGATTTGTTGAGTCAGTTTTGTCAGACACTATGAAAACATTTATGACCTGTTCAGCAATACTAAACTGAGTTTATTTATTTTTGAAAAAATATTAGGTAGTTATGCAAGTCCTCAACGATTCATCATTGTAAAAAATCAAGCTTAACTGAAATGTGTAGTCTCTAAAAATGTGTTGGGCACGACCACCAAATCAGAGCTATTATCCACTAATATTTTCTGTTCAATGTAAAGATCTACTTTTTCACTATTTATCCATTTTTACATTAACAACAGTTCATCTAACAACTTTAAAAGAATATGAATTATAAATAAAACCCACACTCAAATTAATTTACACATCACAATTAAAAAAAAAAAAAAGTACTTAACTGGGTTGATGAATCACTCGCTCAATACTGAAAATATAGTTAGTTGCCAATATGAGATATGTTAACAGAGCTGGGGATTAGATACATGCATGTACAGTGCTTCTGGAATCGAGTAATATGACAGGTTGTAGGCAGAGTTAGTTACAGTTTTTTACTTGCTTTTGAATGCATTTCAGTTAGAAATAGTTGAAATTCCTGTGCATTTTAACCAGTGCCAAACTGAAATTTTATAAATATTTTGAATTGTATTATCATTTATTATAATGTGTGATATTTTTCACCATTATTGACAATTCTTTCAGGTGCCCCTGGGTAAATTGTTATGTGTTCCTAAGAGTATGCATACCATGGGTTGAGGAGTGCTGTATTAAATCAAGAAACTATTTTCATACACATCTTCTTGATTTAACCATATTGCATCATTATTTATTATAATATGTTCTTCTAAACTTATTCATCAGTTGTTGCCTAATTTTAGCATAATGATTATTGTATATTTTACAGATGTTTGGAAGAGGGTGAAATGAACACGTGTCATTTTGCGTTTGATTCATCTGCTGTTTGAAAAATATTTGCAAATTGTGTAAGAAATGTACTTTATTTTTTAATTTGTTGACAGTAAAATCACTAATATGCTCTCATATTTTCAGTGTGCCATATCTGCTTTGAATTTACATAGTGTTGCCTTGTTTAATTTACCCGAATAACAATTTCTGAAAGTAAAAATAAAAAAATTGGAAATGGAAATTTTTTTCTGAAGAACAGTGATAGTTATGTAAAAGTTAAATGAACTGTTTATTGAAAGCTTGAAGAAATTGAAGGAAATTAGTTTTTTTAGTCCAAAGGGATTTGAATCCCGATTATTAGTTTCGTTTTGGCATTTTGCGTCGGACGGATAAATGTCGGTTCACTTTTCAAACTGTTGCCATAAAATGTTAGATTCCTGCATTATATTTGAAGAAATTAAATAATGAAAATCTGCGTAAATGTATGTATATTTCTCGCATTGTGATAAAATAACGGTACATAGAGTCATCGAATTTTGAATAACGTAATCCTCCAACGAATATGAGCATGTGGAAGACCAAATTTGAAATTTGTTTTATGATCGATTTCCTATTTTTTAAAACTTTGATGAATTTTTGATTAACAAACTCAAGGATTTCAAAGTGAGCAATGGCAACGTTGTGCAGAAAAAACATTTTTATCTCCAGCGCATGAGTCTCTGTATCGGAAATTCTAAAGATATGCTCGTTTTAAAACTATTTTGCGATATTGCTGTTGCACTGGATCTTATGGTTTAAGTGCGAGGAACATGATATTTAATAAAGAAAGGTAACACACAAAATGTTAAAAAACGCCCCTTTGGACGTAATTTAAAATCTGAAACATTTCAGATTTTTTTTTTTATTTATTTAAATATTCCCCTTACATTCATTTTTGGGTACATAAAGCATCGTCTTTCAAATATTATTTTTAGGATATTTTATGTGATAGGACAGCACATGCCAAATATTTCTGTCAACAGAAAGATACATCTTAAGATATATTCAGAAAGATGTATGTGCCAACCTGATGTTTCTTTCTAGAAAGCATGCTGTAATCATCAAATCATTTTGACTGTAATATATATATTTTTTTAAATGGAAGAAATGTATCTAATAGGTTAGTTATTTTAATGAACAAATAATGAAAGAGAATGGTGCACTTACTCTGTATACGTAAAGAGATAAGAAGGATGTAATTAGTTCAATGGTGGCCTGTGCATTGTCTGTGCATTATAATAGAAAAGATGTTTATTTTTATAAGCATAATTTTAGAGGCAATTGTCAATTGATTTACAATCTGAAAATTTTTTGGGTATGTGAAATTTCATTCTACATATAGGCAATATCTGCTTAGTAGATATATCTCATTCAGTGGAACCTTGTAATAAAAATCTAGTTGTAGAAACATTGATTACTGATATGCTTGATGTCATTTTATACTTTGAATCTTCTGGCTAAATCTGGAATATTTAAAAAAAAAAAAAAAAAAAAAAAAAAAAGAGTTTTAGCCAATTACATTGGTCGTTAGGCCATTAAACTCCTTGCTTGCCAATAGCGCTGAAATCCACAAGAAAAATTTGTCAGTGCTTCACACTCATCCAAATCTTCCGACATCATTGGCCATCCACTATTACATAAAACACACAACGCCAAATCAGCTAGTCCAATGCGAAATAAATGATTCTGTAGACAGTCATGTCCCGTCAATAGTCTAAAAGATGCAACCATAACTGTTTGTGGGTGGTCAGAAACAAAAGCTGGGTTTGTTGAGAGAACACTCCAAGGGTTGCTCTCATAAGCCCGAGTGGCAAAACTTCTAAAAGTCTTTTGATATGTTAGCGATGTCAGAAGCTTAATAGAAGGGAGGCTTGCACTCCTTTTTGGTTTTTGGAGAACTGTAGCCCCCTTTTTCGCAAACATATCAACCATCTCGTTTCCATAAATACCGCAGTGTGAAGGTACCCATTGAAAAGATATCTTGTGGGAAAGTTCTTTTACGACTTCCTGACACTGTTGAACGCATATGTTCTTATACTCTTGGTAAGAGGAGATGGCCTGTATTGCTGAAGTCGAATCAGACAGTACAGCAGCCCTTCTGAACGAGCTCTGTCTCAATGATAATTGTTGGAGAGCTACATAAATGGCTTTCAGTTCTCCATCAAAAGTGAGTGGAGTAAGCCCCTACATGTATGTAGAAACTGAAAAGCTTGCTAAAAACTCCAGCTCCAGCCCCCTGGATCCTATCGGTCAAAGAGCCATCCGTATATACATGTATCTATTCCTCAGCCGGAAAACGTTGCTCAATTGTTTCCAAAGCTATAGTTCTTATTTGCTATAGACTCATTTCCTTCTTATCTACTTTCATTTCCAGGTCCAACCGTACATTAAGGAAGCTATAATCCAAAGGATTTAAAAAAACAGCAATGACGGTTGCACTGTTCTTATATGATTGTATTGTTCTAGGCAAGAGACACACTGCAGAAAGCCATATTGTGTTTTCAGATTTCGTTGTTTATTATAATCATAATTCCTCCAATGAGGGTTACTTGGTAGACGAATAAGTCTTTGGAAAAGCATGAAAGCATTTTCCATGAGGAAATTATATCATAACTATTTTCGATTTCTATCAATTTCTTTCCAATTTCAATTTCTTTTATAGTAATTTCTTTCCTTAACAGAACTTTCTTGAATTTTCTAGTCTGTTGTTATAATTTGAGTATAGACATCTCCTTTGCCATTGGAGCTGAAGGAAGATGTTCCATATTCAAGCCTTCAAAACTAGTTTTGAAAATTATTTGAAAATTATGGTGATTCTTCTCATCTTGGTATCTCTATTAATTGCTATTAACATTTTATTTTAACCCACAAAGCATGTAATGTTGAATAAATCGAAGCTACTTTTCTAATATATATATAATATATATATATATATATATATATATATATAAAGTGTGATAGCTTTCAAAATATTTTCCTTTATGAAGGGGTACATTGCAAAATTTTCACACCACATTACGCTGTATATGTAGCTGATGAAGCACATACAACATTGTTGTAAAGTATTTTTCTTTTTCCTAATTCCCGATGGGTTCTAACTTCTAACGTGTGTTAAGTCTCTATCAAGAATTGTTACTTTGTTGCTTTTTTTTTCTAATGTCAGGTGTTGATGGACACCTGCAGGAGGGAGGTACATTGCCCTATTGCCAAAAAGAAACCCATGCATCACAGCTTAGCTGGTGGTGAATGTTTTTCTTGTTGCTACTGGATAATGGATCCCCTGAAAAACTGTAGTTAGATGTTTGGGAGAAGGAGGACTATATACCTGTAGATCTGTTGTGTGTGCCATATTGTTCAGACAGCATCGTACCGCCCATCTGCAATGGTGTCATGAGCATTACAGTTATTAGGCTTGTGTAATATTCTTGGACAGTAGCTTCAGTCTGTCATTGGCTTACAGATGCCAACTGATCCGCTGTTAGAGTGGTACTATTTATTGCCTAGAAAATATCAAGTAAAGGGACTGCTATCCAAGACACAGTATCAAGGTGCAATATGGGCCAGCATCATGCTCAGTGACTGCATGCCTCTGTATGTGCTTGCAGATGGGACTATGATCGGGTAACAATACATAAATGCAATTTTACTGCCTCATGTTTGGCTTTTATGTTGTGCTTTTGTTGATAAATTTGATATTTTAGTGTAGCATATATACTATGTATGCTATACTATTTGGAGCGTTTTCTCTATTTATTCCCGAGCAGCTCCAAAAATCTTCTGAGACTGGTGGATTGTTTGTGGATTACCACTCTTATTCAGAACCAGAATCATCTGAATCTGCACTTTAAACAAACTGTCTGCACACAATTCTTGATTGAAGCATCATATTCTTTCTTGATGCATTTTTAGGAATTTACTGTAAAAAAATGTTATTGTTAGAAATTTATTTTATCACCCCCCCAAAAAAAAAACACTGAAAACAATAATCCACTGATAATTCATAAAAAACAAGTGCATATGCTTTTGTAGCAGTCTGTACGAAACAAGTTTAGTTATCTCTCCTGTTTAAATAATCTGCACAAAATTAGTTATTTCCTGTGTTTTAATAACAATACACACAAAGAGAGTTTATTTGTTTTCTGCTTAAACTATGTTAATATTAGGCAAAATGTATTGATCCAGAATGAAAATGAGCATTCTCTAATTCCATGACAAAATCCTCCAGAAACCGATTGTGGTGGGAGAGCATGACCCCCTTTTTTTTTTCCGATCTAGTTTCCATCAGATTTTACAGTTTTGTTGTGCCCATTGATTTTTAAGGTTAAGATTGACACATATCTTTCTTATATAATTATTCGGTACTTATGTATTAATGTCACCGCAGTTGCACATTTGTGTGCCACTTATGTATTAATGGCAGCGCAGTTGCACATTTTAAGTGCCGCCATTCTACACCTAAAATTTTCACGACAAATCATAAATTAAAATACTTTATTTAAAATAAAAACACTTTAAAAAATCAAAACACTTTATTTAAAATCAAAGTAGTCAGTTGGATTTCGGTGGAAAATGGGCCGATGTAAAGTTTAACATAAATTCAAAACAGTCTCTATTTATAAACATTTTCTCTCTATTTCAAAACAGTCTATATTTTGCTATTCAAAACATTTTCTTTGACCTGATGCTGTCGCCATATGAACTCTGCTAAATAAGATTATAAATGATGTCTCGCTGTCCCCCTATGTCCCTTGTTCCTCCATTTAGCACTGTCCCACATTCTCTCAATTGTTTGTGTATGAACTTTTGTATCAGGATCAATAAAATTGTATTTATGATTAACTTCAGCATAAAGGAATCCTTCTTTTTCTATTCTATTTATTTGGTAACCTTTCCAACTGTCAGAATAAATTGTGCTGCCATCTGCAATGTTTTTAATAATTTTATTAAGAAGAGTAGAGCCAGTTCTATTAGGAACAGTGACAACAAACAAATTATTTGTCTCTCTACGTATACCACCAAACACCTACTGTTCGAGTAATACTCGACCACAATTATTTTTACACTTAGTAAACAAACTTTCATCAATTTCCACAATGCAATCTGGTCCACCTACCTTCTTGTTTAGTTTATTCTCCATATCCAAGACACATAATTCATGCATGTGATTGTTCCAATCTTATAACTGTTTTATCCGATAAATCAAGTTGCTTTTCACAAAATTTAATCGACATCAACTCCTCGCACCAGCAGTATATGAATCTCAAAGCTAAACAAAATGGAATTCTGCTCCATTCAGACCAGTTGTCTTTTCCAAGTCCCACTTGCTGATCACACTGTCTTAAATTACATTTCCAAAACGTACGTTCACCAAAATAAAGTTTCATATCATGCAAATTGGTACATTTTCGTTTTTTTGATAAAATATTTTGCTCCTGAAAAAATAAAATTGCATCTTCTTCTGTGTTTGCCATATCCCAGAGACGTATTTTCGTAGCACTAAAAAATGGCGTCAAAAATCAGCAAACAACAAGGCAAAAAGGAATCCAAAAGATAACTGTGTGCAAACAACAGGATTGCCTTTTATTGGCGCATCAGCGCAACTTTTGCTGCGGTGGCGTTAATACATAAGTACCAATTATTCCAATCAATTATCATGTTGTGATTCATTTGAAGCAAGCTTTTCTTCACAAAATTCAGTAAATGTTAACTCCTGATACTAAAAATAAATTATTCATATGGCTATAAAGGAAGAAATGTGGGATCTAACAAATGATGTTTGTGGACAGTTTTCTGGGTACAAGCAAATGTTATGTAGCTATTTCATCTTTGAATTACATTTAATTTCATGCATTAGTTATTCTGTTAACCTTTTCGCCGTCCTGTCCGCGAAAATTTCTTCCCAGCGGCCGTCTGTTTTTCGTAGTGTGTAATGTTGTTTTCTCTGTACATCATAACTTTCCATACATAGCTTTCGTAGTGGCTTAATGTCAATGAATATTAAGTAAAATTATAAGAAATAAAGCATAATGGAAAAATAATATCTCTGACAGCAGGATTATTTGATAACATCTGTTCCGGGCAGTCCACTCCTCCCATTTTGTTGTTGTAATCTTTTACAATTATTGGTTTTTTTTACAGTTCTTTTCCGTGTTCCAACATCAATCATCGAGTTATTATGGACTGTACTCATCAAACATATATCCTTCTTGTCTTTCCAATTCACAACCTCATTTTTTCTCTTTTTCTGCTGAGTAGATGTTGAAGCCATCTCTCACTGTCTTGTATCTTATGTAAAATGGTGCGAATATTCATAAAACCCCAGACAAATTCAATTAGAAATAGAATGCCTGATTAGTGCTGCCCTCTAGGAGGTATTAGAACAAACAAAAAATAAAAACTCAAACAAGTAAACATTTAGAAAGCATTTTAAATGTTTAAAAGTTTCAAAATGTAGAAGAACGCTTATAACGTGTTATGGGTGCCCTGCAGAAGTTTCACTTGAACGCGCTAGAAGCGTTACGGACGACGAAGAGGTTAATATGACTATTCATGTAATCTCTCAATAAATAACTTGGAAAATAATGTTAGAGTGATAAAGTGTATTAGATGAAATCCATTCTGTGAAAGGTCTCTGAGAGTTACATCTGATTGAAAAAGTTAGAAACCTTGTGACACACTGAAATAACTTGCTGATAATTTAGTTATTACACATGCATTTAAAATATTATAAAATGTACAGGAATGCAAAATAAAAAACATAAATAAATATTTATTTAATTTGCTCTGTTATATTAAAATTTTCAATACTTGTGAAATTTTATCATTTTTGAGAGGGAAAAAAAAGCGAAACAAATATACTTGGTTTTATTAATAAATAGTTTAGTAAGAGTTTTAAGTTTTACAAATATATATTTTACACACTTAGTGCATATTAAGATATTTTTTCGATGTTGATATATCATTGTGAGCTTTGGGTGTGTAGAAATCTAAAAAAATTGTTCTGGATGAGCCGTTTGGTTTGGTTTATGTGATTATAACAAAGCTTCGAGGGCTATCTGCCTTAAGGGGAGGAATTGCCTTCACAGAGGACTTTCTAAGGAAAGCTGCCTCGTATGCACGTTACACATGGGGAAAACCACAAAAACATCCATGCAGTCAGCCCATTCGCGGGATTCGAACATCAGACCGAGCTAGTGTTCAACAACTTTTCTGCTCGGCCACTGGTGAGCTGAAAGAAATTGATTCTTTATTAAAAGAGAATGTGACTGTTATAGGCAGGTAAGCAATTGTAAATATTTCAAGGAGAGCAACATAAAGGCAGGTAGACATGTATGTGATGGGTATATTGCAAATTAGTAGACTCATTACCAGAGAAAGTCTAAAACAGTAATGAGAAAACAAGAGTTAAGTACAGTTGCATGACTCTGAACTGAATAACTAAACTGATTGACTCTCAGCTCCAGTGTAGCCATAATTATAGAGAAATGGGAATTATGGGAAGCTTCAAGAGAGTCACACCTAAGGGCTTCCAAAATGCATTTTCTGGAAACTTTTGCCTACAGTTTTGTAAGAAATCATAAGATATTATTAGAAAAAGTTTTACTCATATCTTAAATTTTAATTAAATTGTCTGGACAGTTCAAAAGTTGATTGATTCAGATTTAAAAGATCTACAGCATAACACATGGATAAACACAAAACACAGCCACAAATTTAATTAAACAAAAGTATACAATTAATTATTACATAAGATATGCAAAATAAACATTACATAATTCTAGAAAGTTCATAAAAATCAAAACACAATGAAATAAAAAGAAATATTTACTTAAATTTACAACAATACAAGTCTGGAATTACATTTGAAGTTGTAACTGAAAGATAGGCAGAAAATATTGAATTTGAAAACTTTCCTTCAGGTGTGTGTATACCATTGTTTTTCATTTTAGTAATAATTCATGTCATGCGCTATAAACAGTGCCAGAATGAATTGTGAAAAATATTTTATTAAATTTCTCATTTTATAATTATAATATTTTTATGTAATTATTATTTTATTACAGTTTATACTCTGAAACCTGAAGAAAATGGGAGTTTCATTTGAAGCTGATATTACAACTTTACTGAAAGAAAAGAAATTTGAGAAAGTACTTGAGATCCTTAAAAATCTGGAAAATGATAATGAGGTGACAAATAATGTGTGGAATTTAGTTAGTAATATCTGTTCAACATTAAAAACAAATGACTTGGTTCAAGAGGAATCTGATGTTACTCTTTGCAAAAAAATACTACTCCATCTTGTTGACAGAGGTAATCCCAAAGAACTTATTATAGCACTAATGGAGGAAGCTGACTCCTTTAAGGATCATTCATATTTTTGTCTGTTGTTGGATCCGTTGCAAAGAGTATTAAAGAAGGTTCCTGGGAAACGAGGTAAATCTTTAGAATGGGTATTATCTACATTAAATGCTCACATTCAAACTTTGCCTTTGCCAGAAGATTTAGATCTTGAAGGAGATGAAAAACTTTTTTTAGATGCAGATTCATCTGTCATTGATACAAATTATGTATTAGAAAATTATTACCTTTTTTTAGAACCTTTTGTAGATGAAGTTTCACATGAAACACTGTCAAAGAAAGAACATTATTTTATTGATCGCGTAGCTCATCAACAAGAAATTTTGCAAAAGCATATAATAAAACTTTTTCATCATCCATTTTTATATCATGATCTTTATGTGGAGTCAGAGGCTCGACCAAAAAGCACAATACGAGTATTATGTGAAAAATATGTAAAGTGTTTGTTAAAAATTACTCGAAATGTTATTAACTTATTCAGTTATGATAGAATCTCAACCAAGACACATGATTCTACTCAGGATGAACAAGATGTTGATCAAATACCAAAACTAGCTTTTGCAAATCTAGCATACTTACTATTTGTTGAAAATGTTGCATTAGATTTCCAACCATACGTTTACAGCCATCAATATGTATTTGTAAAGTACATGGAATATGTTATTATCCTTTTGTCAAGGAAAGAAAATTTAGTTTTATTTAAAGGACTAAAATTAGCTCAATCTTTCATTGATAAGTTTAAGGAATTTGAGCTTTCATATGATTACATAGAGTTGGAAATCTCTACTCGTTTTCCAGTTGCACTTCTAAATGTTGCAATTTATTGCCAAATAGAAACTCGCCGTAAAACATCAGTCAACCTGTTTTTGAGTTACATAAGTAAATGTGATTGGAAAAGTCGATATCATTTAATTATGCAGGTGATTACCACCATAAATCATTCTGGTGTCCAAGGATTAGTTATTAATTTATGCAAGAATTATGTGCATGAAACTTTAACTGGAAATGTTATTGGTGATTACTTTGTAGGAAGAAACTTAAACTTAATTATGAGAAAAATTTTTACTTTAAGCGATGGTGTTGAAACTGATATTCTTGAAAATTGTGATAAAATAGTTACTGCTTTAAATTTCCTTAGATATCTCTTATTAAAAGATCTGAACAATCTTGGTCAAACTGGGGTATGGGATATGATAGACTTTATAAAAGAAAATTTTATCCATCCTTTGGCTACTGGTCTTGATTTGTCAAGGGCTCATTACAAGCAAGTTGCAAAGGATGCTCGTGAAGCAAAGAAACAGAAGTCTGTAAATACAACTGTTTCTGTTAACAATGAAGTATTGCCGAATATCCCACTGAACTTCCAGAAAGAGGTTTTTGAAAAAGCTCTCGTCACTTTTGATATGATCGAAAGTATTTTATCTCGTGTTAAAGAACTTATTTTGTATTAAATCTGTAATATTGATTGTGTTCATCCATGTTTTACATTTCACAAAAGCTAAAATAGCTTTATTTTCCCCTGCCGTTTGGTAACAAATGTTAAGTTTGATTTAATTATTGATTGTGCTTACCATGCGTCTTGCATTTTACAAAAGGTAATATAGCTTCTTTTTCCTCCCTACATTTTGATAACAAATGTTAACATTGATATAATTGAATACTTTTTTAAATTTGTAAAAATGAATGCATACGTTATGTTGTATAAATATGAAGAACATTTCTGTAGTAATTAAAATTATTTTAACAGTGTTGTTTTAAGGCATGTCTTAATAGAATGATAGTCTGAAGTTTTTCTTATGAATAATGTAGTCTTCATCATGAGAATTGGAAAAAGTCCTAAAACTACCGAAAACAATAGAGAGTTTTTTTTTGTTTTTAAATTGAGGAGGAGGGTAAGAGATGAATGTTTTTTGTGAAATCTGTTATCTTTATAATAGTGCTTTTAGTATTTAAGTTTATAAACATCACAACTTAATAAATAGCCTAATGTTGATTTATTTTTTTTACTTTATACATGCACGTAAGGTATAAAATAAGAAAGAAAAGCACATAAATTACTAACTTAATTTGACAAGAGTCTTTTTAATTTCCAATTTTATTTTAGCTACTTCTTCATTCATAATCTGTACTGCCGTACTTTCATTTGCAATGAACAGTGTTTTAAAGCTCTTGACCAATCACCAATAAAAAATTTGACAAAGTAGTCCGATCCTAGATGAAGTGCACATTTACTTTTCTTGTTCTTGCCTAGGTAACTCACGTCTTCTCATTTAGCTTTATCTTCTCTTATTTAATATGTGACCAATGTATATAGAATTGTGAGGTGCTTGTCACATCCGTAGTGATGTGAAGAAAAGGAAATACGTTCTAGGAAATTATTCCTACATAGAACAATCAAATTAATTTTCATGATTAAAAATATTGTGAGCTTACTTTTAGTATTTTTTATTATTACAATTTTTCTTTTGCATTTATTTTATTCTAGAATGTCAAATTACCTTTTAGAATTTTTCTTGTATTTTATCATTTTACTGATATTTAGATAGCTTATTGGTTTATTTTTTTGTATCGAGTTAGTATTATTTATTTCAACTTTCAATATTTTTGTGACTTTGGACAGCTGAAACATGTCAGGAAAAGAGACAAATTGAATGAGATTGTACATTTGTCTCAGTACCTCAAAAAATTTAAGTTCGCTTTGGCGTTCAAAGTCTCTGTGAATTTGTTGCAACAAAACTTGTTTCAGCTTATCTATTTAATCAACTCGGTTTGGAGCTTCAAAACATTTTTCCTTGACAATTTCTGTTTGAAGCTGTGAATAAAAGAGATTAACCTATGTTTTTGATACTCCTAGGTTGCCATTTTTATGTATTTAGCAATTTCGGTTTTAATCTTATTGTTAAAATTTTTTCTTTTGCGATATAATTCAGAAACAAAGATAGGTAGAGTCCAAATATTTTTACAGCTTTTACTAGGTATTTTAATCTTAACTTTTAAAATTAATTAGCACTAGGTGCTAATTTTGAACTTGTTAGTTCTTTCATAATTTTTATAAATTGAACTTTTGTCTTCTTCTCTATGTATATATGTATATATATCACACATATATATGTGTGTGTGTGAGTACACATTTTTGTAAATAATAGCATATTCTTACTAATTTAATGCCAACATAGGGGAGGATGTTGTATATCTTTGTGGGTAATTATTTCACAAGACACTGTATTTAATTACATTCTAATTTATTATGTACAGAACACGTCATCAGTCGCATACACATGTATCACTACAACTACTTGTATTCCAATGTTAGTTCTGCTTTACAACTCTTCCGCGTGCTTGCGATGCTTGGTGCTGTGCTAGCTTTAAGTTCGATTATGATTTAGTTCTCAATACACCACATCCCTCCCCCCTTTTTCATAATTGCAGCCTATCTGGGGAACGTCGAATTCTACTGGACCGATGCAAATATGGCACAGTAGGTTTCTTTGGTAACCTGGTTGTATCAGCAGCAGGTCCGGTGGATGGAACATCCTGTAAATACCTTGACCTTGGAAGACAACACATGCTCATCTACCTGGTAGCTATTATCTTTGGATGGTTATGGAACTCCACTCTTATCAGGCTGTTTGGGAATCATGAGAGCTGGAGTTTACAAGACACTGTATTTAATTACATTCTAATTCATTATGTACAAAACACATCATCACTCGCATACACACGTACCACTACAACTACTTGCATTCCAGTCTTAGTTCTGGTTTACAACTTCTTTGCACGCTTGCAATGCTTTTCACTGTTCAAAATGGGGAACTTAAAGCTAAGTTCGATTATGATCAAGTCCTCGATACACCTTAGAAAACCAGTTTTATATTTCATAAACATTAATTTTTTTCTATGATTTCCTAGTAGTACTTGTTTAAATATTTTTACTTAGTGATCAAAATTATGCATTGCTTTTTTAAATACAAACACTGTTAAGTACAAGGGAAGAAGAAAGCAAAAAAATTACAGTAGGATTTCGATAAAAATTTTACTTTTTAATATATCATAATCCTCATTTAAATTTCTTTTTTAAATTGCAAAAGCATGTTTTCTTTGGATATGTTGATACTTGCTGACTTATGACAAATATCGATAATTTTGCAAAATGTCTCCAAAATTGCCAATTTTCATTTGATCTTTTACCAGTTCGCCAAACTGCACCAATGTAGTTGCGCTAATGTGCAAGTTCCATTCACAGAACTTTAACTAGGGAGAAAAAGAAAAATTTACGTTTTCATCATCAGGCATCATGGTTTATCAAGAACAGTAACTTAGAGATATGTTGATAATACTTGAAATTAATTTAAAAACTCATCTCGTTAACAATCATCTGGAAGCCATCAGAGGCAACTATTTTCGGAGAGTATTTCGGAAAGTAAATGACATTGCCAAATTTTCCCCAAGTTTTCTCTTTTTTTCTTTTTTTTTTTTTTTTTTTTTTAGATATTTAGCAGTACATAAGGAACTTCAGTTTGTTATGACTTAATCTTACTTCAAGATCTTCAGCTAGTCGGATTTAATTCTTTACAATGCTCTTAAGTTTTCAAGACCATCCTTTGCTTTTGGATGCGAATTTTCAGAAAATTTCTTCCTGCTGCTAAATTAACAGCACTTTTTGCTTCTGGATTGGCTTGTGTACTCACATGGCACCCACCCTTCCCAAAACCAGACCCCAGTTGCCATCATAGTAAGAATTTTTTGATGTACTGAGTCATTTCTCCAACTGCAATAACATGGGGTTACAAGTCCTGCTCCAAAAGAAAAGAACTTTGAGTGTTTTCTCTTATAACAGCTAAGGATTCTGTTGGAATTGTCTGCAAAATCATCAGCCCTATCCTCCGTGCAGCCTTTGTGAAGTTTTTCTTCCTCTTCAAGTTGCTGACTTGACACTTCATGACTGTTGGCTTTAGTTTTTCCTTATGCAAATTTTGATCACAGGTCAATCGGCGGTAAGCTAACGTGGTTGCCGCTGATGTCAAGATCTGCGGGTTGGCCGAGTATTATATGTACGCCGGTATCAGCGAATGTGTTATGATGAGTTAGCATAATTCTATAATTTTCTTTCACTCAAATGATTTTAAATGTAAAGGCTACAACGTTAGCTTATTTTATTTTAATTTACGGAATAAAGCATGAATTTTATTTAGTCTTAACTTTATTTAAGGGAAGCAAAATATGCTCTGCCTTTATTGCCACTGCCAATGGGGTTATGAGCCCAGCGCCAATAGGGTTATGACCTGTTACCCAGTTCAACTCAGCATTGAAGGAATGTAGGTGAAGAGGGCTGTTATCCACGAGAAGAAGCTGACCTGTCTTAGAAGTTTGTTCAAGTTGTTGTGCTCGCACTTAATTGAAGATGTCATTACTACCTGAAGGTTTTGAGCTGTTAAACCATGACAACTGGCATCAATGAAAAGTCGGTATGAAAATGCTGCTACTGGATAGAAATTGTTGGAGCTTCATAGAAGACAAAGAAGAAGAATTAGATAAAAGTGCAACAAGACGTGAAAAGCAGGAATTCACATTGAGAGAGAATAGAGCCTTCACTACATTATATTATGGAATTAAAACTTGGTTCAGGCCACTGATACAAGAATGCTCAAGTGGTAAAGAAGCATGGGAAGTTCTACAGAAGCAATTTGAACCTAAAACAAGAGCAAGGACAATTCAGTTACTGGATGAATTTTTTAGTATTAGATATACCCCAAATGAACAACTTGGCAGATCTTTTTAAAAGATTTCAGGCAATAAGGAAATTACCCCAGGAATAGGAATACTCCGGCATTGTACAGTTGATCTGTAGATGGAAGGACGAAGATTTTACACTGGAAAAGAATTGCTGAAGAACTGGTAAGGGAAGAAAGCCGACTTCGCCAGGTAAATGCTGATTTAGAAGACAGCAAGGTAAGCGTGTTTAATACTATTAGTTCATATGCAGGGAAAGAGTTGAAAATAAAAATAAATCTAAGAAAAAAATGGGGAATATGAGAATAGAACCTTGTTTCAGATGTCATAAATTTGGACACTTAATGGCTCAATGTAAAGAAAATGTAAGTAAAAATCAGACATTTAAAATAGACAATAAAAATGGACAGTTTAAAGATAAAGAATTAATGTTAGTAGGAAGTTATGTAACAACTACAGATAAAGGAGGTAACGCAGATAAATTTAATTGGCTCGTAAATACTGCAGCTACAACTCATTTCTGTAATAATAGAAATTTAATGACAAATTTTGAAGAAATAAACGATATACGTATGTCTTTAGCTGTAAGAAATTGTGAAAGTAAAGTACTAGGAAAGGGTACTGTCAAATTTTCAGTAAAAGTAGGCAATCGAATAAATTGGATTTAGATAATGTGTTATATAATCCAAATCTAAGGAGAAATTTACTATCAGGAGCAAGGTTAGAGAAGGCTGGTGCTCATTTTGTGATTTTAAAAGGGAAGATGTGGATGTACTTTAATAATTGGAATAGATTATGCTACGCTAAATGATATGGACTTTATCACGTAAAACCATTTAGATATGCAACAGATAAAAAAGAAGCTGGTTACGGCGCAGAAATTGGAAAGTTAAATAAAGTAGACGATGCGATGCTATGGCATTGAAGATTTAGCCACATAAATTTTGATTATATTAAGAATACTAGTAAGAATCAAAGCGTGAAAGGGTTACTAGAAATTGAAAAACCAATGGAGAGGTGTGTGAACCATGTATTATTGCTAAATCTAGTAGAATAACTTTCAAAACTGTTCCGAAGAGATCGGATAAACCATTGCAGTTGGTTTATTTAGACGTTTTTGGCCTACTCCCAGTTCCATCTAAGGGTGGGAGTAAATATTTCCTTGCTATTGTGAATGACTATAGTAGATTAGTAACAGTGTGTGTATGAAAATAAATGTGTAATAGTGTATTGTATGAAAAATAAAAATGAATCGTTCTACAACTTTAAGAATTATCATAGGCAAATGGAAAGACTGACGAATAGAAAATTAATAAGTATACGCACCGATAACGGTGGGGAATTCTGTAACAGGCAATTCGAAGGGTACTTAGCCGAAAATGGAATTAGTGTTGAACGCACAAACGCGTACACCCCAGAAGAGAACGGTGTGTGTGAACGTTTTAACCGAACGGCATTAGACGCAGTTAAAGC